AGCGTTTAAAAAAGAACTGTTGGATTATTACTACACTTCATAAATGGAAAAGGATTTGTAATTTGAAAAAAAAAATAAAGAAGGATATGGGACTCTCGATTTTAAATCCAATACATTAGATATACTTTTCAAAGAATGGCCATTGAGGGGTTTATATTGTCATCTCATTGTAACATTTGAGCTTCTTAAGAAATAAGGTCTGCCGAACTCTAATTTCCAGAACTAATTACAGGGTAAAAGTGTTTGTTTTTTTTAAAAGCCAAAAAATAATGTTCATACAAGATTCAAGGGAAATGTAATGTAGCAAAATACACAATACAGGTAATAAAGGCCTTTTTCTTTGCCTTTTGATTTTGCAATATCATTTATTGTGCTGAAGGCTAAAAGCATGCTACTGTACGTTGTACGATTCTGAAAATGTTTTAATAAAGCTTTTGATAAAAAGAATTGAGTGAAAATAATCGTTTAAAAAGTAAAGTGAAATATAATGTACAAAAATACCATCAATGCAATTTAGTTGAGAAAACAAGAATACATTGGGGTTCTTTTCATTCTGCATACACTAAAGAGATCTGATAGTAAACAGCAGCGGATTTTCATTTGGTTTCTCAAAATATTTCATGCTTGTAGTCTATTATCCCTGTTATTATCCCTGCAAATTAGATATTGCACAACAATTTCATTGATTAAAGCGCTCTTGATGCATATTGAAAAATCATTTGAATTAATGCTTTTGCCCAGAGTTTATTAGGTGCTGAGATGATTCTGACACCTCATTTACAATATTGTGCACAGATGTGGTCATTGCATAACAAAAAAAAGATGATTCTGTGCAATTAGTGCAAAGGCTGTTGAAAGTGATACCCTGGCTTCAAGAAGCACAGCTCTACAGAGGCTTGGATTACTAATTCACTACCAACTGGGCTGGAGAGGTCAAAGGAGCTCTTTTTGTTTTTAACCAGTGTTCTGTTCTTAAGAAGAGTGAACAGATATATCGGGGGGGGTCTGGAATTCACAATTCCTCAAGGACACTGACAATGTGAACCAACTGGATTTCCTCAGAAATAACAGTGAATCACAAAACGGACAAGAGACAATGTAAGCTAGTGTATGGGGGAAATCCATTTCGAAATGAGAGCAGGAGACAGCTCTTTCCACAAAGGGTGGCGGGAGTCTGGAACAAGCTATCCCGCCATGTTATCACAGCTATCTTCTTGGCTGCAAATGGATGAGATCCTCAGATCACCTAGCTCCTAGGAACCATACTAACTAGACTGGCCAAATGGCTTCTACTCATTTATGACCTTTGTTATTTTATGATTTCTTTATTTCTTAGCACCTCACTAGACAGGAGCAGGACAGGAAATACCCACTATACATACGACAGGATCTTTATATAGTCAAAGCATGAAAAGACTCTACATAACATCTATAGGCAACAATACACTAATATTTCCCGTAGACCAGCAGGGCACCAGTCTCATATAGTGCATATACTGTAGTTCCTACTGCAGAAGACAGCAGGCTGGATGCTAAAAGCCTACAGTATATCTATCTATCTCAATTGCTGAAATTAGTAACTTGTGCTTTACTGAAAAAAAAGGTCCCAGATGCAACCTTACAGTAGTGCTCTTAAAAAGAAATTGAAGCCCAATTAGCTAATAAGCAGAACTGTCTAATTACAGCCACAATACTTTGCCATTCCCAATTCATGTACAGGGACATCAAAAGAGCCTGTTAATAAACCTCCAAACAATAGGCCTACAGTGAGGGGAGGGGAGGAAGTTACCATTTAGGGAAAAGAGTTTGAAAATGAGGCCTCTCTGTCAATACAGCTGTGGTTGCTCTTGACGGCTGCTTTTACCTTCTTGCTTTTTGATGTTTTCTACTAAGACTTCAACCATTCTGTGCTTCAGAGCAGCGGGGGTCAGGTATGATTCAGGGACAGTCAGGTCAGAATTCAAACCACAGCTCAGTTTCGAATTATGGTCCTTGTATATACTCATGCTGGCTACTGAGACTAAAGAGACTAAATAAAATTCCAACCACAATTACATTTTAAGGGCCATATGCAAAGGAGCTGACTGCATAATAAAAGGGAATATACTTCTATTACCATAATGATATTACAGGGATAACTTCAAGTAGAGAAAAGCCAAACTCCCTTTCTGAACGGTTTGCTAATGTTTATCTATTAAGCCTTGCTGGATATCTATGAAAAGGGCATTTCATTTATACTAGATGGGTATAGTTTCTTTTCTGTCTTCCTTCAGAAGGAATAAAGAGCATAAAGAGGGAATTGCAAATCACTTGAAAGGCAGTTTTACATGTTTGCTTTTAATGCTGAAATGCAAAACACAGCTTACATGACTCACAGGGGCTTCAAACAATAGGGGAGAAGGGTAAAAAAAAACCCTCCAGCAGCAGGTAACAAAATTAGATTTTGTTTTTACAAGACTCTTATGTTGTGTGCTATCCTCAGCCATGAAAACTAAGCAATAATATATGTAAGGTAAAGTGGAAGAAATGATTAAACTGGTCAGTTTCATCCACATCACCACACCATCCTACAATTCTACCACTCACTCACCAACTCCTAGGTTAATACATCTGTTCCAAATTAAGTAAAAAAGAAAGAATATCGAAAAATTAATATGATCATATTCCTGCCTGACCGTGGTTAAGGGCTAGAACCCTAAACCATGCAAGAGGACAATACACAATGTAATATATATTAGGGGTTGAATGGACCTTGATATCTCAGGAGCACTGTCTAGCTCGATGCTGATAATGGCACAAACTGTCTTGAAGGACTAAAATTCCTTCCCTTGGAAAAACACAGTTAACCCCAGTGGATTTCTTCAGAATGAACAGAGAAACATTAAACCAGAGGGCACAAGCAGACGCTACCTGGAAGTGCACTGAAAACTGAGAACAGAAGTCACTTCCTTACCCAAATAGCAGTGGGAGCATGGAACAAGCTACCCAGCCATGCTGTTCAAACCGATACCCTAGTTTATTTCCTGAAACAGCTGGATGAGTGCTATGGACCCTCCTGATCTGCATTTGTTTGTTACTTAAAACAAAGTAAACTAGTCCTCAGTAACAGTCCTCAGAAAATAGAAACTTACATAGCTTAACAGCTTACAGAAAACTCCCTATAGCGTGTGTCCCCAGTTTCTTAATTATTCTTGACAGTTTAATGTGTTCTCTAGGGGTGATGGTGGTGGTGGGGGGTGGCCAATGTCCTTGTTCTCAAAGGGAGGGGACACGTTTCCCAGAGAGTGTCCCCTCTCATCCTTCTGCGCACTGTGCCAACCCCACACAAGCGAGCTGCCACTGGGTGATGGGCATCACACTGGGTTAATTACCCTTTTCCCCCGCCCTACGCTTTGACATAGAGCGTGTCTTTAAAGAGAGCCTCCCATGAATAGGCAATGTTTATGTTAATGAACAGGGCTTTACACCATGTTGCAAATTAGCTGAAAGGGTTTTCTTTTGCGGGGGGGAACAAATGGAGTGCTTTTATGAGGCCTAGATACACAAAAGGGCTGAATAGAAGCAAGCTGATACCAGGGATTCTGAATTCAGGGCCTTGCATCAAAGACCGGAACAAAACAGCGCCAGTGTTTCTGCTGTCACTCATCAACACTTTCATCAACTGATGAAAGAATTCTGACAAAAAGCAACAACAACCACAACAACAACACAAAATGAGGGCATGCTGGCGACATTTATCTGAACTGTTTCTTTAAGCAATTAAAAACTTTAAATCCACATTTTGTGAGAGCTCGTATCCACTTCTCTTTTGGGTTATTTTGATTTATTTACCTGTGAAGTATATTCGTGACAGAAGGGGTACTTTTTCTTTTTCCTGTGTGGCGTACAGTACGTGCTCTCCGTTTGGCAGTGCTAATTCTAAACGTGAACAGAAACAAAGTCTTGTTCTTCTTTTAATCTGGTTCACATCAGTGTCTCTCCTGTGAAGTGACTTCTGCTTCCTTACAGTACAGCTGTGGAAGGGCTGATGCTCCATCCGAACTTTTTGTTATAACAGCACTTAAGTAGAAGTTGGCTAAGGAGCCTGTGGCTGGAAGATTGCTGGTTCAAATCCTGCAGCTGGCAGAAGAATCCTACTCCATTGGGCCCCTGAACCAGGCCCTTAACCCCAGCTGCTCCAGGGGCACTGTTCAATGTCTGACCCTGCGCTCTGACCCCAAGCTTCTCTCCCTGTCTGTGTGTCTCATGAAGAGCAAGCTGGGGTATGCAAAAAGACGAATTCCTAATGCAAGAAATTGTATATGGCTAATAAAGTGATCTTATCTCTTAGCTTATTTGATTGGTATGATATAAAAGATGAGGCTCCTCCAGCAAGAATCTTTATATACAATGGGTATCCAGTTTTCAACGGAGATGGGCTCATGTCCAATCACAAGGAGGTTAGCTAACTGTATCCCACCAAATCCCTTGGTGGTAAAATTAAAGAATTTCAACAACAAAATGCTTTTCATATTACCTACAGATGGATGCTCTTCAAACAACATTTTGGAAGCAGTTATGTGTCTTCATAAGTTAAAGGAGGGTCAAAATAAATATAGTGCTTTCTGGTCCTAATGGTAAGCATCTTTATAACTGAGCCAATAATGATTTTTTTTTAGTTCTGTGGTTTTCACAGTGACTGCTCAAGTAAACTCCCCAAAACTATCAAAACATCCAGGAAGGCCAATGATGTTGTTTATTTTCTTGGAGAAAAAATAAACTTTTGGCTAGAGAAAAAAACAACAACAATAAAATCTTCTTCATGAAAGCAAACGTCTCTGAAAGCCAAATTTAAATTGTAGAGGTACCGACTCTTAAAAGTCCATGCTCAAAGCGACAAAGCAAAGTGTGTTCTAAAGATGAAAGCCCCTTTGCGTCTTCACAGAGATTTCCCAGAAAGCCCATTTTATAAAAACAAAAACCGCTGCAGACAATTTCTAGCCATTTCATTGTCCACTTACCAGCTTTGTCGGCCACATCCTCCGCACTGAGGTTGTGATTGTTCTGCCTGATGCGGTACGTCAAAGCAGGACCTACAACACTGAAACAACAGGCAAGCGAGTTAGGAGTGAGAGACTGGATATGGAGGAACCCACATTTATATAGCTTCTGGATTCTCTACCAGCACTTCAAAATGTAGCACCCCTCCCAAAAAAAAAAAAGAGATGATCGCATATTAGAATCCAGCAGCCTCCAGATGGAGCTGTTTAATACAGACAGACACAACCCCTAGGGGCAGTGGACAAAAAATGGAAACATCTGGGTAAATGAGACTTCAGGTACGTTGAAAGCAAGGGCTTCCACACAGATGTGGCTCATGCGTGAGCAAATAAACATGACTGCAAGAGGTGTCCATGGAGTCCATTTTTGTAAGGTCGTCCTGACCGAAAAGTGAGAGGGGGCACGCTAAACCCGCAGAGTAGGTTAGCTTTCTTTCCGGAAAGATATTACAAAACGAGCTGGAAATAAAAGCGGAAGACAAAAATATCTTCCGCATCAAATCATGGCTGACTACTCGACCCTTGGGAAAAGAGTGGGATGTGTAATGGATAAGCGTTGTCAGAGAGGAAGGGAGAAAGATTGTGAGGGGATAGTGTGATGGGGCGGTCCGATTAAATTAGACTTTCTGGAAATGCAATTTAAATGGTCATGGTTACAATGTGGCCTTGGCACAAGAGGGCTCTGTTACTGGGTTGAAGAGATATTGTTCAATTTGAAGGAGATGTCAAGAGTAGTGGATGATGGGATATGGAAAGGATCATAGAGAGTAGCTGTAAGGTGACTCCCACAGTAGATGAGACTGCCACTCTTTTGAAATGTGTTTCACAAAAGTTTGAATTAGTGGATTCCTCCAGAGCAGTTTGACCAGAATGGAAAGGTTTTACATTGCGGTGAAAGACCGCAAAGGACAAGCCTCAAGAAATACTATGATCTTTTCTAGGCGCTTGGATTGAACAGATTGTATTTTGATCCCAGGTATTTTTGGATCATTAAATGTTTAACTCTACTTTTACTGGAGGGACTAAGTAGTATGGAACGGGAGTTTAGTAGATTAAATCTTCTCTTTCAGAGAAGGAGGTGGTTCATGAGTCATTTTCGAGACGAGTCCGTGAGGAAGCATTAAAAAGTTTCTTTGATGCGCAAGGTGCGTAATGGGAATAGGCGAAGGATTTCTTCACAGTGTGGGGAAGCAGGAGAAAAAGGACAAAGGATGGGGAATGAAAGGTGGTCAGGAAAAATGACTGCAAAGATATTGTGTATTATAGGATTATTATGGAGGGTTTTTTGTGAAGAGATAAGGGAGGTAAAAAAAAGCACTAATGAACATGCAAGAAGAGAGAGACGAGAATTCCACTTCTAAGTGAGGCATGTTTTTATTAAAAGTTTTTTTAAAAGAAAACATTAGGGAAAAGAGAAGGGTTAAGGAGTCTCAGGACAGATGGTCCCAGCTAGTGATGCGCGGGTTGACTCACACCCAGGGGTCAGGCTCGGGTTAAATAAACAAGATTTTAGATCGGGTCGGGCAGGTGCAGGTTCGTTTCTCACAACTGCTGGCTGGTGGAGTTAAAAAAAAAAAAAAAGCCAACCTGCGCATCACTATTGTTTGGTGTAATTTGTAATGGAGCGGGTTTGGACCGGGTTCGGGTCAATACTTTTATCATTATGTACACAGGGCACACGTTGGCGTCTCCATTTCTTTGTTCATTGTCTGTGTCAGCTTGTTTATGAGAACAGGTCACTTACTGTATGTTTATAAAAGAAACCGACATTATTCCACCTGCTATTGTGTTTTCAAACATGATTTATTTTGAAGATTAGTCTTTGTGAGAAATTATATTTATAGTTATTGTGCTTCGCTTCATACAGTATCTGAACAATTTGGCTTACACTTGCAATAGAGTTCATTTTCTAGATACTGTATATGATTGAGTTTGTGGCTCCTACATACATTTCTAGCATTCAGAAAAAAATCATGTTAACTCCAACTTCTAAGCACTATGGATTTTTGGACAAATAGTAGGAGTTTATCTTTTGTGACTGGTAGGATATGCAGTATACTGAATAGTAACAGCCAATGCTATCTAATTCATTTAGATAAAATAAGGTATCTAATTCATTTCTCATCTGTACCACTGTGGCTCTTTTATCATGCTAAATGTGTATTTTGCCATGTCGTAAATCACAATATAACCAAATTAAGAGTGCTACAGTACATCTACATTTAATATTTCTCTTGAGAACTAAACTCAAGACTGGAGGTTCTAAAGTAAGATACTTAAGAGCAGCTTGCAAAAAAAATCTAAATATCAATTCGCATTTTATGCTTCTACTACCATGGCTCAAAATACTATGAAATAGTATGTTCAGCATTAAGTCATTCAAGATTCTCAGAACAGGTTCCTGGAAGTGTTTCCAGTGAATTGTTGCAGCTTCTATTTAAGGTCTGTAGGTCTAAGGCTGAAAAAGACTTCACTTCCCTTAACTGAAAACCGATATAGTCAGATGCCTAAACAAATTGACTCTTAATGAAGGCACATCAATAAAATCATGAAACGGTTCAAACTATTTAAGAATTCATAACCAGATGTGTACATTTATATCTGGAGCCTTGTGATTGTCAGAAATAATGCAATATGTGCTACAGTGTCCTCTAAAAGTATGATTTTCACAATGAACTGTAAAACAAATACGGACAAACAACATGACTGATAGGTATCATACAACTTTTAATCAATTTAATACTCTTTATTATTCAGTTGTTTTGAGTCCTTTGGGGTTCTTTTTAATTGACCTTTTTGAGACCAGTTTGGAAAGTGAAATGCAAGACAGAAAAAGAGTTTAACAATTGTTAATGAAAAGCTGGCAACTGTGAAGCTAAAAGAAAAGAAAAGTTGAATCAGAAACAGGACGGACATTAGGCCTAAATCAGCAATTTGGAAGAATAATAATAATACATTTTATTTTATATAGGGCCTTCAAAGGCGGCTTCTCAAAGCGCGTTACAGAATGACAACAACAATAAATAAAAGGAATACACAAGATAAAACACAATTACAATACACAGAGGAGACCATGGATGGTGGTAAAATGTATAGTAGGAGCAGAGGGGTAAAGAATGGAACCACTTAAGTAAAGGCTCTTCTAAAGAAGAAGGAATATACTGAAGAAACAATAAACCACAGATATAATTACTACTTGGATAAGACCAGGTTAGACAGACTCAGGGACCTTCCAGAGACACTTGCATTTATATTTTATTACTAAAATCATGTGAACCACTGTTACTGCACATAGAGACCATTCAGCAAATTTTTGTGACTTGTCAAAGTAATGTTGCAGACTTTTTACATTTACCACAGTAAAGTGCGTGACTACTTATGGCAGTCAAAATATGTTCAATTTGAACATTTAAGTCCTTATTGAAAATACCCTCCTCTCGCATTGGCGTACATGAGGAGACAGGCTTCAAACTGTCTTAATAAAAAGATGCATTTTAGTTGCTTAACTGAAGACAAAATGGAAGACGCCAATAAAAACAGGTCCTTTTAGTGGATAGGAAACAGGAGTATCCTTTGAGGGAGAAGACCCTACCAACTTCAGAAATAACCCCAAAATTTTAAAAAGGCAAAGTCTCCTTTTCTCTTTGGGAAAAACTGACTTCCCGTGAAATAGACCTCTAAGGGCTAAAAGTAGATGTTAATCTCCAGATGTTAATCCAAATGAACATGCATTTTACAAGCTGGAGAAAAACTTTCATTCAGCTCACCCTCAGAACAGGCACAAACTCGGAGACTGCCACAAAGGAGATGGTGAGCTCTATAGGTCATGGACATCATGCAGTTATTACCTAAAAGGAATATGCAACTAAATACTGACAATCATAAAATTTACTTAAAGTGAATGAGTATATAATCACTGGGCTGAACATCAAGTAGGGTTTGGTTCTAATATAATCATGTACAGTATATGCATGGAATTAACAAAATGTACATTTATATCATTCTTACCATTCATTTATCTCATGAACACAAATGCAATTGCTTGCTCTGAAAGGCAAAATAACAGTTATGACTTTCCTATCCTAATGCCTTCGAATGCCATTCTACATCCAAATTGGCTCAAAATCTGTGGTTCTGTTGTCACAATCATACAGAGCATAGACTATATTGGTTGTGTCACTTAGACTAAAGGCATTTTTGAATATGGTTCTTTGATGATACAGTATGGCGAATGTCTAAAACAAATTGTCTCCAAGCCTGGTTCTGCTAGATTTCAGTCCAGGGAAGTCTTACAGGCCACCTTGATGAAAGAAACAGGTGTTCAGCAAATAATGGATGAAGTAAGCCAGTATTTTGTTCAACTAAAAGATCTCTGGGCCCTGATGGCTAATGACTTAACAAATCACTCTCACTCACTTAATGTTTAAAGTTTTTAGGGGTCCTTTGGCTTCTGTTTAAATGCAATGATTAGTTGTGGTAGCAGCAAAATAATTGTGATGAAAATCCAAAAGTGACCAGGGGTGAAGACTCTTGGTTTAAAGGCTCAAAACGTAAAGCTCGGCCATGACCTTATTTAACATCGTTTAATACATGGAAATTACATTTATTATATATTTTTTCCCCCATCTCTTTCACATGGTGACATTTCTATTTCATTAAAATGGGCATCGTGTCTTCAGGACATAAAGATCAAAGCAATCTACTTTAAATTCCTTCTATGGTCTACCATTTTCAATAGATGGTGAACTTCTTCAAGCACGTAATAATTGCTATTTTGTATTTGATGCTTATAAGCCTAAGCCATCAAACATTACAAATATTATTGTTTTCAAGTCTGTGTCATTCACAATCAATTTCAAAGTAGGGAGTAGTTCATATTCTGTACACTGGGCAAAGGTAGCCTACTATGAATATATTTAATATTCCCACTTGGTGTTCTTAAAGAGAATATATATCCAGTGGAAGCAAAAGTCTGAATTTCTTAAAGATTAAATTTGTGGGTAAAGAAAGCTGGCAGCCTAATAGAAGCTGTGAAAGCTTC